AGAGTAGTCCCCTTGACTTTTGAGTGGATAATGTGATAATGAAGTTCTTTTATCCATTTGTTCACTGCTATGTGATCCAAACCAGATGACCTCTTAGTGCCAGAGATTGCACAGATCTGTAAAACAGACGGATACGAGTACAACAGACTACCTGGAGAATGGACTCAGAAGTATGCCATGTGATGCTACCTTAAAGTCAGAATAACCTGCATTATAGTTGGAATAAACTCTAAATTACTGTTCCTTTTTTGATTTTCTTATCTGGCTGCTCCCCTATCAGACCTCATCCTTTTTAATTTTATTTTTTGTTTACCTGCCTCCATTCATGCACATGCTCGTCTGAGAAGACTTAAGTTCTTCCAGCTTTGGACAATAACTGCTTTTAGAAACTGTTAAGTAGTTACAAGAGAACAATTGCCCAAGATTCAGAATTCATCCTTTTTCAGAGGAAGGGGAAAGTCTGTGGACAGCTTCCTAGACTCACCATGGCTGTGCAACCCTAGTAGATGCTATCACTTTGCTCCCTTTTAAAGACATAGGGAGCAAGCAGCAGCTCTCTTGAAATCAGTGGAGACATATAATGTACAGCCTTGTCCCTTTTCCCCTCTGTTTACCCTAGGCCTTACCTGATTTTGGGGCCAGGGCTGTCTAAGGATGAGGGGTTTGATGTATGGTCTCTCTAGATATAGCAGAGAAGGGACTGATCTGCTGCCATAGCGCCTGCATGGGCTGGAGAATTGAACTTTGTGCCAGGTGATATGACATTTAACATTTTTTTAAGTGGAATTACTTTATAAATTATGAAACAGTGTTGATTTTGTTATTCCTTTTCAGTGGAATATAGGTTGTCCTAATGCCATGGAAGGCATTCCATTGTTGGTTTTTAATAGTTCTGGGCAAATTACTATTTTCCTCCAGCCCTGAATGTGGTTTTGATGTGTTCTTACAGCACCCCGGGTCAGCTGCAAAGTTCTTTAATCTGTGTGGAGACCTAGTTCAGGTCAGAGAAGTGTGTGGATACGAAACTAGAAAGGGCAGCCAAACTCTGCAAGGTGGAGGGACATACTGACTATGGAAATACTCAGAATGATATGATCACATTCTTTTCTAGGACCTTCATCATGATGCAATTCCTTTAAAAGAAGTTGGTCATTTGATGTCAGAATTGCAATATATTGGCAATATCTAGTCATTGATGAGCATTTTTGCATGCACTTCATACCCAAATGTAAGACTTGGGTTCAAAAAAACAGCTTCACAGGTACGAGATAAAGGAGATATGATTAGACAACAGCTCATCTGGAAAAGATCTGGGAGTTTTAGTGAACTCCTGGCTCAGTATTAGTGAACATTTGTGACAGGGAAGCCAGGAAAGCCAAGATAATAAGAGAAGCATCGTGTTCAAGACTAGAGACGTGGTAGACACGATAGTCCCTCGCTGTTTTTGCCCTGCTATACTGAGAGTACTGTGTTGAGTTCTGGGTGCCACGTTTTAAAAGGAGCACTGATCAGCTGGAAAGGATCCTTAGGACAGTCAGATGGTTCAGGGCCTTCAAGATCATTCTTCATGACAATTGATTGAGGAAACTTGGGGAGTTTAACTTGGAGAAGAAAAAAAAGCCTAAGGAGAGGCAGGGCAGCTGTCATTCAAGTGTCTGAGGGGCAGTTACATGGAAGCAGGATTGGACTTGTTCTGCTTGGCCCCAACAGCAGCATCAGGAGCAGGGAGGCACCTGGTACTGTAGAAGTACCAGAAGTGCTGGGTGTGGAGTCACATGACCCAACTTTGTAATCTCTGTACTTCCACTTAATACCAGTATGACTGTGGGAATGTTACTTACATTCTCTGAACCTGATCTGTAAAAGTGTGGGTGGACTGGATGACTTCTGTGGTCCCTTTCAATTGTAAGTCTTATCCTAAGTTGCAGACAGACACGTTTAGGCTTGATGTAAGAAAAAAGCTTCCCAACTATTAGAGCTATCCAAAATTCATTTGGGCTGCCTCAGGAGTGGTGAGTTCTCTGTGGCTGGAGGTCATAAAAAACAAAAAAGACTGAATGACCACTTACTTGTTAGGGATGCTGCCAAGGTCATTATTGTGCAGCAATGGTCTTTAAATTCTCCTCCAGCTCTGAGATTGTGAATATGTGATTCCTAAAAGTTAGGTGGCGATTGATAGTCTATGGAGAATTAGAAAGGTTGTGTGTTCTGACTATTTTTTGACCAGTAGCAGACCTCTCTTTTTTTTCGCCTTTTACAAATGAAGAGAAAGAGCCAGTTCTTGCTTTTTGTTTCTAAACAAGATTAGTAAGGGAAAATCCCAAGTCTCTAATGTCAGATGTTAAATGAAGTAGAGAATTGAGGCAATTATCTGAATATTTCGGGCTCTGTCCAAATTACTTTCATTTGAGATAGCTGTATAATTAATGCCCTTTGTGTTCTAGCCAAACTGGACTACCAGTTGTGCCTGCCTCTGTTTATTTACACAAGCTGTCTCCTTGCCTAGAATACTCTCCCAGAGAAAACTGGAAACTAGTATAGCAGAAACTAGACATAGACCAACATCTCAAACCGTATACCTAGATAAGGTCAAAATGGGTATGTGATTTAGACATAAGAGATGATACATAAGCAAATTAGGAGAAAGGAATAGTTTGTCAGATCTATGGAGAAGGGAAGAATTTATGACCAAACAAGAGATAGAGAACGTTATGAAATGCAAAATGGATAATTTTGATTACATTAAATTAAAAAGATTTTGCACAAATGAAACCAGTGCAACCAAGATTAGAAGGAAAGCAGAAAGCTGGGAAACAATTTTTTCTGCCAGTGTCTCATTTCTAAAATATATGGAGAGCTGAGTCACATTTATAAGAATACAAGCCATTCCCCAATTGATAAATGGTCAAAGGACATGAACAGGCAGTTTTCAGATGAAGAAATTAAAGATATTTATGGTCATGAAAATATGCTCTATACCATTATTGATTAGAGAAATGCAAATTAAAGCAACTCTGTGGTACCACCTCACACTTATCAGATTGGCTAATAAGACAGAAAAGGAAAATTGTGTGGAAAAGATGTGGGGAAGTTGGAACACTAATGCGTTGTTGGTTGAGTTGTGAACTGATCCAATCATTCTGGAGAGCAATTTGGAACTGTGCCCAAAGGGTTATAAAACGGCATACTGTTTGATCCAGCAATACCACTACTAGGTCTGTATCCTAAAGAGATGGTAAAAAAGGGGAAAGGACCCACATGTACAAAAATATTTTTAGCAGCTCTTTTTGGTATCCAAGAATTGGATCTTTTTGGTATCTTCTTTGGTATCCAAGAATTGGAAATTGATGGAATGCCCGTCAATTGGGGAATGGCTGAACAAGTTGTGGTAGATGAATGTAATAGAATACTATTTTTCTATAAAAATGATGAACAGGTGGATTTCAGAAAAACTTGAAAAGACTTGCATGAACTGATGCCAAGAGTAACATTGTGTGATTACCAACTTTGATAGACTTAGCTCTTCTCAGCATACAGTGATACAGTTGCAAAAATCCATGATGGTAAATGCTAGCCACATCCAGAAAAAGGACTATGGAGTTTGAATGCAGATCAAAGCATAATTTTTTCACTGTTTTTGTTTTTTCTTTCTTGTGGTTTTTCCCTTTTGTTCTGATTCTTCTTTCACAACATGATTAATGTGGAAATATGTATAATATCATTGTACATGTATAATCTATATCAGATTGCATGCTGTCTTGGAGAGGGGGGAAAGGAAGGAGGGAGAAAAAAATTGGAATTCAGAATCTTACAAAAGTGAGTGTTGGAAACTATTTTTACATGTAATTGCAAAAAATAAAATACTATTAAGTAGAAAAAAAATAAAGTACATTGGGAAGCAGAGGAAGAAAAAACAAAGGAATGCTGTCCCAGAATCCTTGTTGTCTTTCAGGACTTGGCTCTATGTGCTGCTTCCTTGGTGAATGAAGTATTTCCTGTCACACTGCCTCATTCTCCCCTCCTCCCCTGAGTTGCCTTTCCCATCCCCTCCAGCTAGTGCTCTCTCCTTCAGATTACCTCGTATTTACTTACCTCTGTGCATATTGGCTCCTTGTCTTTTTCCTTCCCTCTCCCCTGTACCCACCTTTCCTCTCCGCCTCTCCAAATGTAAGGCATCTGAGGGCAAGAACTGTTTAATTTGTGTTGTGGAATTCAATCTTTCCCATTTTAGACACTGAATAAATGTTTGTGGGATTGAACAGAAAAATTCAGGTAAAAGTGAAGGTTTGCTTCTGTCTCCCAAATGATTTTCACTTTACTTTGGTCATATAAACCTTACTTAAAGATATTTATGGTTGAAGTAATTTTTGAAAAACGTTTTTGTTGATGTCTTTTGTTTTTGCATCAGTTTCAGTTCCAACTACAGAGTTCACCCTTCCTACCCAGAGAAAACTGACTCCTTTCCCGAATCTAACAGTATATTCAGTATTCTATACCTATAGGCTCTCACCTTTGCTCAGTTATGTTTTTTCTTCTTTTGTTGCTTTTTGGTGAGGCAGTTGGGGTTAAGTGACTTGCCCAGGGTCACACAGCTAGTAAGTGTCAAGTGTCTGAGGCTGCATTTGAACTGAGGTCTTTCTGACTCCAAGGCCGGAGCTCTATCCACTGCACCACCTAGCTGGCGTGCTCTGTTATATTTTTGACAAGATTGTTCTGTCGCTTGGAAGTGTTGATTTTTTTCATGTTTTACTTTAAGTGTAAGTTAGCTTGAGTTCAGTATCACTAAAGGCACAGTCTTGAAGCACTGACTTAACAACAATAAAATTAACCTTCTTGGAGAAAAACAGTGGAAAATCCAAAGAGAAATGTGACCACTGTTTTCATTTTTTTTTTTAAAGGGTCTTTTTTGGGGGAACAGTTAGGCAAGCATCTAAGCATATGATACATGTGAGAGTGTTCTTCTCATGTGATCGTTGACGTTGGCCCATTTCTTTCCACAGAATTCAGCTGCCTCCGGTTCCAGCTGGTCGGGATTAGATCTGCTTATTTTATTTGGAACTCTGGGCCATGTTTTGAGTTTGGGTGCAAGCAGTTTTATAGAAGAAGAACACCAAACCTGGTATTTCCTTGTCAATACTCTCTGTCTAGCGCTGGGCCATGAAATATGTAGAAACCACTTTCTTGGGAAGGACTTTGATCATAATTTAGCTGTGGAAGGGGATTTTCAAAAAGATACTAAGAAGGTTTTACAATACAGAAATGACTCTGTGGATGTCCCAGAGTACGACAAAGTGCACAAGATGTCTTCTTTGGAACTGCCAGAGGGCTGTGAAAAGTGGTTGGGATTGGCCACTCCATGGCTTATACTGATTTGCTGTAGACTGCTCCGCTCATTCAATCAGACAGGAGTGCAGTGGGCTCATCGACCAGACTTTGGCCACTGGCTGACCAGGTAAGAGTGTGAAGTGTTAAATTCTTTTGCTCTGGAATTATTGTATTCTTTAAAGTGAAAAGTTCATATTTTACACATTCTCTACATCAGAGCTTTGCACTGATATAAAAAGTATTTAAAATTAGAGGAGATGAAAGAGCATCCCTTAGTCCGTAATGTTAGAGGAGAAATCCATCTTGAGTGCTACCCGGTTAGTAATAGCTTTACTGGCACTGGGTTTGTCATCACTCCTCAAATTTTATAATGCTAGTTTTAAGTAAAATGCAGTTTTTCCAATGGAAGTGTCACCAGTGACTAATTTTGGATAAAGATTTCTGATAACTAATTAGTCACCAAGCATTTTTGTGCTAGGCAGTTGAGATAGAAATAAAAAATGGTCCCTGCGCTCAAGGAGCTTATATTCTAACATGGGAAACAACGTGTGTGTGTGTGTGTGTGTGTGTGTGTGTGTGTGTGTGTGTGTTTGTGTGTGTGTATGTACATATAGATAGAAGATATATGTCTACGTATCTACACATGTACCCATCTCTCTCTTTCTCTCTCTCTCTCTATCTGTCGTGAGAGGGAGAAAGAGTACCCATTTATATAGAACTTTAAAATTCGCAAAACCTTTACATGTATTATTTCATTTGGTCCTTATGTCATCTTTGTCACATAGGTAGTATGTTATTCTCATTTTAGAAATAAAGCAGCTGAGACTTAGAGGAGATAAATGATTTGTCCAGTCACCCAGCTAGTCAGTCTTGGGGGCAGGAACTGACTGCAGGTCTTCATGACTCCATGGCCAGCCCTCTGTCCATCACATTATGGTGCTTCACCGCTGCTGTGTATGAGGCCCATACAGAGGAGATGAACAGAGAGCATAGATGGGAACGCACTAGTAGCTGCGATGACCAGGTCAAAGGTGGTATTTGACTTTAGTTCTGAAGGAAGTCAGGCACTCCAGGGGCAGCCATGAGGAAGAAGAGCATTCTTGGCAAGGAGGCTGGGCAGTGGAGTGTTGGTGTGAGGTGCAGCAAATAGGCCACTGGGACGGACCATAGAGTAGGCGAGTGGAGGGGAGGCACGTGTGAGGCTGGAGTGCTAGGAAGGGACCAGATGGTGCGTGACTTTAAGTGCCAAGCAAGGGAGTTTGTATCTAATCTTAAAGGGAAGAGTGAACCACTTGATGGCCATGTCCAGTGAGCTCTTCTTAGCCCTCATCCTTCCTGGCCTCTCTCTGGCCGTCACTTGGCATTTTAGTCACCTTCTCCTAGATATTCTGTCCTCCTGGAGTTTCCAGGCCCTGCTCTTTCCTGGTTTGCTTCTTGCCTGTCCACCTTCAGTCTCTTTTGCTGGTTCAGCATCTGTGGCCCGCCTGGGATCTGTGCTTCTGCTGCTGTGCTCAAGTCCCTCTCCATGTTCTCTTTCTTGATGCTCTCCGTTCCAGTGGGCTCAGTTATCATCTCTATATCAGTGCTGGATGGTGCATTGGATAGTTCTGGGCCTAAAGTCAGGAAGCCTCCCCTCCTGACTTCACATCTGGCCTCGGACACTTACTAGCTGTGTGACCTGGGCAAGGCACTTAACCCTGTTTGCCTCAGTTTCCTCATCTGTAAAACAAAATGGCAAACCACTCGAATGTCTTTGCCAAGAAAACCTCAAATGGGGCCACAAAGAGTTGGACACAACTATAAAGCGACCGAGCAGCACTAACCACGATGCAGTTGACTCCCAGATCTCTAGATACAGCCTCAGTTTCTCTCCTGAGCTCCAGTCCTGCATCATGAAGTACCTCCTCGACATTTCTAACTGGATGTCCTACAGGCATCTTAAACACTTCCTGTTCAAAATGGACAGTGTCTTCACCGCATCCCCCAAACCTTTCTTTTCCAGGCTTGACGGTCTCTATTTAAAGGCACTGCCCTTCATGTACTTGCCCCGGTTCAGACCTCAGATTCATCCTCCTTTCCTCCCTTTCCATCACCTCCCCCCAGTCAGTGCAGTGCAGCAGTCAGTTGCCAAGTCTTTTTAGTTTTGCCTCCACAGCATCTCTCAAATCCATCCCCTTTTTTTCTGCTCACGTAGCCACCACTTTAGTTTATTTCTTCATCTTTTCTCATGTGGATTCCTGCAGTGGCCTCCTTTTTGTTCTTTCTATCCCCATTCTCTTATCTCTTCTCTCTATCCTCCACACAGCTGTCAGATTGATATTTTCAAAGCACAGGTCTGACCGTGTCATTCACCTGTTTAGGAAGCTTCAGTGGTTTCCATTTGAATATAAATTCCTCCTAATACCTAATAGTGTAACTATTGCTGTATGCCAGGCGTTCTGCTGAGTACACTGATACCTCATTTGATCCTCGCAACAATCTTGGGATGTAGGTGCAATTATTATCATCCCTATTTTACAGGTGAGGAAACTGAGGCAAACAGTTTAAATGTCTTGTCCAGGATCACATAGTTAATAAGTATCCGAGGCTAGATTTGAACTCAGGTCTTCTTGACTCCAGGCATTTGACTCCAGTCAGTCTTTCCCCTTGTACATTATTCTCCTTGCATTTTGCATTCCAGTCAAGCTGGCCTATTGCTGTTCCCAAATGTGACTTTGGTCCCCTATTTGTACCTTTGCGTAGGCTGTCCTCATGCCTAGAATGCACTCTCATCTCACCCCTGCCAGTTCGAATCCCAAGTTTTCCTTGAGGCTTAACTCATGTTACCGCCTGCATGAGACCTGTCTTTATTTGTCTCTGTTTGCTAGACACCTCCACTTTTGAAATTGCTTCGTATTTACTTTACACAATGCATGCACATGCCCATGCGTGCACACAAACATATTGTATTTACTTGTCTGTACTCATATTGTTTCCTTTCAGTAGGATTTCCAACACTACTTTAGGGCAAGTAGTGTTATATTTTTGTCTTTGTGTTCCCAGCACCTCCTACAATGCCTAGGAAGTACATGAGGTGCTTGATAATTCCTTGTTGAATGAATGTAGAACGAATCTCCTTTAATAATAGTATTCATTATGCTGAGACCTACTTGAATTCGTTGTGATCATCTCAGTTATCTGCCTGGGCCATTTGGGCACATAAAGGGACACGGCCTTTGTAGCACTTGTACCTAGAGCCATGTAGGGCACATGGTTGTTGGCTAACTGACTGTGGGATGAGCTAATGTAGGCTTTTTGTTTCGTTAGGTCATTAATGAAAACCTAGACCACAAGTGGAGATGATTACATTGTTGGCTGCGGAAAATGCAGTGAAGGTTTTAGTTGGCAACTTAGTAGGCAGCATAAGGGGTGCTTTAGAGAAGGAAAGGCTGGGCTGGGGAGGTGGGCAGGAACAAGGAGCCAAGCAGAGTGGGGCTACTGTCGCTTAATCCTGTTCCCCCATTTCTAAGTATGAACAAACTTCTCTGGACCACCCTTCCTCTGCTGGGTCTACCTTCCTCTTCCTTTTCTTTTTTTTCTCTCTCTCTTTCCATTAGAAGATATTGATGAGTTGGGAATGAGCATGGTAACCAGAACAGGTGATAATCTGGTATTCAGGTCTTTCTTCATAACCTTCCACCCTCTCAATCTACCTTGTTATAAAAGAGAGAGAAACTAGGAAGTAGTGAGGGTTAAGGTGGGTGCTAGCAAGGTCAGCGTGGTGATCATGGAATGATTTTCACTTTGTAGTGTCCTGAACAAATTAATGCAAATCCCTGTGGGTATAGAGACCAGACAATCCAGGTTTTTTTTATTACATACCTGTAGACAACTTGTGTCCCATGATTGTGGGAACTTTATGGCTAAGGAAACTACTCATTTGTGATTTACAGAATAATTTCGTTTGATAATACTTAATGAGATATAATTGGCAAAATAATTAGTAGTACCATACAGTTTATCTGTACCACACAGTGTAGCAAGCTGAGATTTAGAATAAATGACTTTTTTTGGATTCTTCCCATTTATAATAATTATATGTATGTAAAATACAAAATCATACACACAGGTTTCATTCTTTGTACTTATATCCTGTAGCACCTAACAGTAATTACTGATTGACATATTCCAGTTAACTTGGCTTTTGTGGGCTGGTCTGGGAATGTAACTATCATATATGCCACAGGGGAAAAATTATATTAAGCAACTTCAGATTTCCAGGTAACTACAAACTTTTGGAGCCTGACTTGTCCATAAAGGTTGGGGATGCTATTGGTAAACATTTTTGTTGTTTCTGCTGAGCCTATGTAAACTCTGAAGATCATTATCCCAACTCCCACTCTTATGGACCAGTGTTAAGTCCCGAAACAAGGCTCTATCTCCCCCTTTAGGTTCTAGGGGTGCCCCTGAAGAGTTGAGGGAGATTAATGCCATTGTTTTTAACCCCCATCAGTGTGCTCCCCATAAGATCATCAGTTGAATTATTCAGCCAGTCCCAAAATTTATCAGTTGAACCATATAGTCAGGCAGCCTTAAGTTGTTTAAAGAAAATGGTGTTCACTAAGATGGTACAATAGGAGCAGTCATTAACAAAAATCCAAAAATCTGTGTCACCCGCTCTCTCAAATCTTTAGAGTCCCAGGAAGAGTGGGCTCAAGCTTAGGAGAGTACTTGTGGCATAAAGGTGACTCACTGTTCTTGGTTTCTGGAAGTCTTCCCTTTCATGGGGTGCTCAAGAAGGGTGAATCTTCTATGTCTAGTTTATCCTTGGCTCCAGCAGACTACTCTTGGCCTGGGGGAATACTAGGATGATGGGAAGGCCAAAATACTCAGGACCCTTCAAAGTGTGCAAGGTTCTTTTGCAGTCAGAGTAAGGGGCAGGGAGGAGAGACCTATGCCAAGGTTGGAGCTGACATTTTTCTTCCCTCGTCCCCAGTTGATTCTACTTCAGGGTTTAATGAATGGAACTCTTGCTCCAATATTTGAAGTTTTTTCCGAAGAAAAGAGTTTCCCTTATTTTTATATTATTTACTGTGATATACAAGTATTACCTTTTACTTAGGAACTAGTGAACAGAAATATGATTATGTTTTTTGATATTGTTGTTTTAAACAGAAAATCTAAACAGTTTATTCTGAAAAATAAAACATTTTAAATGTGTGTCTTAGCCATTAACTTGCTACAGATTTGTAGAAATGCAGTAATTAGGTTATACTTTGCAATAATTTGTGTCATTTTCTGTTTCATTACAGTTCTGATCATAAAGCTGAACTCTCTGTTCTGGCATTTCTCTCCCTTGTCATGATCTTCATTCTGGTTCAGAGAAGATGCTCTCCTGTTTCAAAAGTAGCAATGGCACTAGGGCTCTTGGGAGTCTATTGCTACCGAGCAGCATTTGGAAATGTCTTTTTGCCATGGCAACGAGACAACAAAGATATTTCTAAGTAAGTTCATAAGCAGATATGTAAATCTTGTTTTAGATCTATTTTAATATGTGTACTGAAAGGCATTGTGCTGTTGCTTATAATATCAATTTAGTTCTTAAAAGTCATGTATTATGTTTTTCACTAATTATAATAAGGTAAAATTTTAATTAACTGCAACCCAGCTAACCATTTTGCTTTTTAGGAGGAAAAGGCAAGCTGATGAAGATTTATTTAAAAAACGAACATATAAAAAGTCTCCCAATTTATAGGGTATGCCATAGAATCAACAGAGAGAGGGAGAGAGAGAAATTCCTGTTCAACCTTGAACTGACCTGAAAATTTGAGTAGTCAGAATTCAAGCCTGCCCTAATATAGTTCTGACTGTTATCTAGATTCTAGAGTAGCCAGAGAGTAAGGTGGTCTGGAGAAAAGGCACTTCTCTATAATTGAAGGATAAATACCCAAATCCTCACCTTAATTGTGTTTGGAAATCTTTCTGAAATAGTGTACTTCCTTTCCCTAATTAGAAAACAAAGTATTCTCAGCATGATTTAATCTTTCCTTGATGATCCAAGGTTACTATTCAGAGCCTCAAATGCCCTGTACTGTAGATGAGGATGTATAGGACAAGTATTGATGTAGATCATAGGAACTCAAAGTTGGGAGCTTAAACATCATCCAGTCTATGCTGTACTTAAACAGGTAGCTTATCTACAGCATCTTTGAGAATTGGTCCATTTCACATACTTTCCAGGACCTCTACCAGAAGGGAACCGACTGCCTCCCAAGGCACCCATTTCATTCTGAGATAGATCAAATTATAGGAAGTTTTTCCTTATATCTAGCAAAACATGCCTCTGTGCTTTAGCCATTGGTTCTCATCTTGCCTCTGAGATCAAGCATACTTGAGCATTTCTAACTCCTCTCTTTAAAGTATCTGGAGATGAGCCTTCTCTTTGCCAGGCTAAACTTTTGTGATTCTTTAAACTTACCCTTTTATAGAATGGTCTCCAGTCATTTTGCCTTTCTGATCGCCCTTCTGTGGACCAGACCCTGTGAGTTAGGACCAGCTTTCTTCCTTCTTGGGCAAATTAACATTCTTCAGAGCCTTGGAAAATAATTCCTCATCTGTGTGTAAGGTGTCCCACACCCATTGCTGTTTGTTGTTGTTCATCCTTTGTTTCTAAGGGGACCAATGACATCACACGTTGATGTCTTGACTTGTGAGTGAATTGGATTTAAGAGAGGCTGAGTTGCACAGAGTCTTTAGCCTCACTCTCTCTTCCAGAGTCATGGAAGTCCAGTGGCGGTTAGATTCTTCCTATTTCCACTTTGCCCTCTGGTTCTAAGAGATCTGGACAGTTTTCTTTTAAGACCTCTTGAAATAAGATGTGTGGCCTCTTTTTTTGGTTGTGGTGTTTAATAGTACAAAGATTCTTAGATTTTTTTTCTCCTCGATTATTTTCCAGGTCAGTTTTTTATTGTTGTGAGATATCTTACGTTTTCTTTTATATTTTCAGTCTTTTAAGTTTGTTTTAATATTTCTTGTTGCCTCATGGAGTCATTAGCTTCTATTTGGTCCATTCAGAATTTCAGGGAGTTTTCACTTGGATAAGGTCTTGTACCTCTTATGCAAGCTGTTCATTCTTTTTGCAGTTCTTACTTCCATAGCGCTCATTTCTTTTCCAGGGTTTTCCTCAAGTACTCTAATTTCATTTATAAAAATATTTTAAATTCTTTTTAAAATTCATGCTTCATCTCTTCCAGGCACTATAGTTGAGTTTGTGTCTAAGATGTGTTTTCTCTGAAGCTTTGCTTATTAGATGTTTTGGAGTCATCCTCTACTCCTGGGTGTGTCTTGAGCTTCACTGCCACCATAACAGTTTTTCTGGGGAGATTCTCTTTTTGTTTGCCCAATCTTCCGGCCTCAAGAAGTCAAGAAGTAGCCTTACTTTGAACTTGATATTAGAACTAGGCTCTTTGGTCCTTATGGTGGGAAGAACTGGGCTGGTCTTGTTGCATTTTTCTTGGGACTGCTGAGTATTGTGTTATTCCAGGAACTCAGAGACATCCTGGAAACCTGACCATTTTCAGTGGTCTGATCCACAGCACAGTCTAGTTGCTGTCCTTCTGCTCAGAGGAGAGGCATGCTTAATTTAAAAAAAAAATAAAGATCCACTTTGTTTTAGCTATGTTCAGTTTTATGTGTCATCAGGATGTTCGTGCAGTGATGTTCCGTAGGTAGCTGGGGATATAGGTCTGGAGCTTTGGAAAGAGAAGAAACTTGGAAGTCATCTGTATGGTGGTGAGAGTTAGAACCATGGAGGTGGGTAAGATGGCCAAGGAAGAGAATGTAGACAGGACAAATAACCAAGGACAGAAAATTCTGGGGAACATTAATAGCATGCATGCTCCTTGAGGGCAGTGATTTTTGTTTCTGATTTTATATTACCTAGCAGGCACCTTGTAAGGACTTTTAATAAATATTTATTGAACTGAATATCCATTTTAAGGAATCTGGAGAAGGACAAGGATCAAGAAAAGAGACAATTAGGCTACTTTAGACAAATTGGAACATAAAAGTGTAGCAATCTAAAGGGAAAAATTTAAGGGTGATTATTTACCCTTTTTCTTATATCTTAACTCCCTTATGGACAGAACCTACAGCAGAGTAGCCAGCCAACAGAAGTGGGAAAAGGCAGCTTGGAATTTCTCCATCCAGAAAGCCAATGATTGCCTTAATGAAAGCACTGTGGCAATTAAGACACAGGCAGAAGTTTGCTGATTACTGATTGCTTCATATCTGGGAGTATTAGCACCAGATAAACAAAGGAAGTCCATAAGAGGACTGCTCCAGGGAGCTGTAATCACTTGGTTAGAAGCCAGAAAACTGGGTAGCCAGAGCAAACTCCCTGCCAGTTTTGAGGGCATTCAGTGAGGGAAGCCACACAGAACCAAGGACCCAAGATTCAGAAGGTGTGGAAAACAATTCCAAGAAGTAGCAGAGATTACGCCTGCACCAAACCATTGGTGCTTCTTGTAGAAATAAAGACCAGATTACCCTACTAGAAAGTATTCCTTAATGGGATAAAAATCACCAAAGAAAGAAATCATGGAAGAAAAGGCTCTGAAGAGGCAGAGAAGCTTTAAACAACACTCGTTGCCCTCTGCCTGTGCTATCATAATAGTATTCTAGCAGGTCTTTGAATCCCCACTTTGTGTTTTCTTTATGCCTTTAATGCTGCTCTTATACGTAGATGTGGTCACATCATTCTTTCTGTTCACAAACTAATTAAAACTTATTTAAAAAGGAGGCAAGGAAATCCAGAACATCCAGAGTTCATACTCAGGCCAGTGAACCAGTGGGGGAAAGGTAGCTTAGTGTACTCTAATGGGATCTTAGTGGACCAGAAAAGTTGCTTTGTCTTCCTAATGGGGATACTCTGCTTGTACTACCTCCTTCATAAGGTTGTTGTGAAGAAACAAAGCAAAGCCTTGGCTCACTTCAAAGTGGTTGGTATTGAAAGGCCACATCTTTATCAGAAGCAGCTGATGTATGGGACAGACTCATTTATCTGACCTCACCTTGGGTCTCTACTTCTAGGCCTCTTTTTTTTCTCTTACAGATTTAAAGAACCTTCCACATTCTTTCTGTAGGTGGTATTATGTAGAAACATATATCTTAAGGGATCTTGATGATCTCTGATAGTTTTTAGAACATTCAAATGAGACTCTGTAGGGTCCTTCCTCCTACCAGACTTCACAGTCGTTCTATGTTGAAAGCCATGATGGATGTTATATGTCTTAAGTTCAGTGTTTTGGGGAATCCTAGGGGATCCTCTTCCTTCATTTATCCCTTGTTGAATTGACAGCCGGCCAGGCCAGTCACTGGCCTAACCGTGCTGTTTGGTTCAGTCTCTTGGAAGACAATTGCTGCCTCCTTGTGTTCATAATATTTTCCCCAGAGGGACCAAGGTGACAAAATAAGGAATCACATGCAGTACTGATTTCTGAAGTGCTAAACTAGAGGCCCACCCTGGTGTTGAACAGGGAGCCTTACGATCTATGACCTGGCTGAGCTTCTCCTCAGTTAGCAGTTTTGCATGATCTCAGAGTCATCAGCACAGTGCCCACCTCAACATAACTTCTTGTAAGCATTTAATAGCTGGAAGTGATGTAGAGGTTTCTGGCCTCTCCATCCCTTTAGGACCAGGTGGCACAGAATGAACTGGATGACTTCCCTTTCTGTAAAGCAAGAATATATTAGAACTCCCCGACTCATCCTTAGTTTTTCTAAATAAATCTCCCTGGTGCCTTTAAAAGCCACCGTGTCCTGTGGAGTCTTTTGCCTAACAAAGAAGGGAGCAAGAACATGACTGAACGTCATTCTTGGGGATTTTGTTTTTGAGCAATTTTGAAATGAAACGGTTGGATGGGGCTGACTTTCAGGGTAGAGAACTAAGAAGTGGGTGGTGAGTCAAGCAGTCAGGCAAGGGAGGGCTCTGAGAGAGATGGCTTTAACCAGGGCAGGGCAGCACTTGCCTGCCAAGACCTGCATGTGTCCCCAGCACCAGCAGGGGGCAGCAGCAGTCTGGGTTCTAACGCCACAGTTGGTCCACAGACCAAGGGAGTTCCGCCTAGGAGTGGTCAGAGAGATGATGGGTCAGCAAGAGGAGCAGCGGAGTCTAGCTGGGACGGGAGGGTCTAGAAGCAGCATCTTCTACCGTACAGCAGACTGAGGGTATCCACAGTAGAGCCAGTGGGTGCTGAGTAGGCAGTAGGGACTGGGGCTCTTTGGGAGAGGGTCCTTTTGAGGAAGCTGCTGTAGCCTGGGAACCTCAGGGCTGCTTCTTCCAGGAAGCCTTTTGGAGTTGTTGTTGTTGTTGTTGTTGTTTTGTTTATGTTTTTGTTTGTTTGTTTGTTTGGCTAGGCAGTGGGGTTAAGTGACTTCTTAGGGTCACACAGCTAATAAGTGTCAAGTGTCTGAGGCCAGGTTTGAACTCAGGTCCTTCTGACTTCAGGGCCAGTGCTCTATCCACTGTACCACCTAGCTGTCCCCAGGAAGCCTTCTGACAGTGCCCTTGTTAAAGTGGACCTGACCTTTTTTTTTTTTTTAACATGATGTCCCTCTGTGGCATCTCCTCTGCTTTTACTATGTTACTTCTCTGTGTGTGAAAGAGGGATTAGATTTGTTCTACTTGGCCCTTGAGGACACAACTACAGCCCAAGGAGACAGGTGTCATTTTGTTATGAGAAAAGACTTCTTGGAAAACTAGAGCTGTCCAGAAGTGGAATGGGCTACTTTAGGAAGCAGTGAGCTCCCCATCTCGGGAGGTCTTCAAGCAGAGCCCAGATCATCAATTTTGGGGATGTTTTAGAAGATTCCTGCTTTGGGTAAAGGTTGGACCAGACAACCTCTGAATAATAACTAACATTTCTATAGCACTTACTGTGTTCTGGTACAGTGCTGAGTGCTTAACAATCCTCACAACAACTCTGGGAGGTAGGTGCTATTATTATCATCCTCATTCTACAGATGAGGAAACTGAGGCAAGAGGTTAAGTGACTTGCCTAGGGTCACACACACATGCACAGTGTCTGAGGCACTATCTAAACTCAAGTCTTCCCAACTAGCTGCCCCCTCTATAAGATACTCCAGACATGTCTCATTTTATTGTGCTTTGCAGGTAAGGGCCGGGGTGTGTGGGGGAGGGGTTTTTATAAATCAAAGGTTTGTGGCAACCCTGCATTGAGCGAGTCTGTTGGCACCATTTTTCCAACAACACGTGCTCACATCCTGTCTCTGTGTCACGTTCTGGTAATCCTCGCAATATTTCAAACTTTTCCATTATTATTATGTCTGTTGTCAGTGATTTTTGATGTTACTATTGTAATTGTTTTGGAGCTTCACAAACTGCTCTCATATAAGAAGGAAACTTCGCAGATAAATGTGTGTGCTTTCCCTGCCGCACCCACCGGCCATTCCCAGCACTGTCCCTCTCCTCCGGCCTCTCTGTGCCTTCACACACAGCTTTGAAATTAGGCTAGTTAATAACCTTACAGTGGCCTCTTCGTGTTCAAGTGAAAGGAAGAGTCAGTCGATGCAGCAGACTTCATCATTGTCTTATTTTAATAAATTGCCACAGCCACCCCAACCTTCAGCATCTCCCAGCCTGATCAGGCAGTAGTCATCAACATCAAGGCCAGACCCTCCACCAGCAAAAAGATTATGACTCACTGAAGGCTCAGATGAGGGTTAGCATTTTTTACCAATAAAATATTTTTTAATTAAAGTATGTGTGTGTATTTTAAATAAAATACTATTGCACACTTAATAAGCTACAGTATACTGTAAGCATAACTTTTATATGTACTGGGAAATGAAAAAGTTCATGTGACTTGCATTATTGCGATATTTGCTTTATTATGCTGATCTGGAACCAAACCTGCCGTAGCTCTGAGGTATACCCGTAACACTGCTATAATACTGTGTATTATATGTTGTATGTTAGAGAGTTGCAAAACAGCAATTCTACGATTCTAATAGAATTAGTATTCAGTGGCTCACTCAAGGGCCTGAAATTGCATCATTTATTATAGTTTAAGGTATCTTGTTGTTCTTATCAGAGGGTGCCTTTGGTAATGGAACCATTATGGTGATTTTTCAGACTGCTTGTGGCAAACCAGTGGAACTTTGTTTTTGGTTTGCTGTGGTCACGTAGATGTTGCCTTGAATCTTAAACTCTAGGCTCCCCCTCCTTCCATCTGACCCAGTAAACACAGAGCAGTCAGCTACATTAGGGTATAGTGGGACACCATCCATCCTTCCCTTTTTATGCACACACAAAGGCTTGTTCTTAGTGTCCCCTCGCAATGGGGCAGTGCAGTTGATTGTGTGGAGTTTTAGCCAGCAGAACTAGCTTGTGTTGACTGTTTCCTTTGATGCAATTAGAATTATATGCCTCATATGGAAATAAGTACTTGGATTTTACAGAAAGATGCTAATATGTCTAATTTGTTCTCTCTTTTAGGGGAATTATTGAAGCTCGCTTTGTATATGTCTTTGTTCTGGGTATTCTTTTCACCGGAACCAAAGACTTGCTTAAGTCCCAATTCGTTTCTGCAGATGTCAATATCAAGAGTCGAGGTCTGTGGGAAATACATAGCGGATTAGTTCTTCTAGCAGCCTTGTTGCTCCGACCTCACAATCTTCCTGTTTTGGTGTTTAGTCTGTTGATTCAAGCTGTAATGACAAAATTCATCTGGAAGCCCTTGAAACATGATGCAGCTCAAATTACTATAATGCATTATTGGTTTGGCCAAGCCTTCTTTTATTTTCAGGTATGTCACTGTCACCAAAAGAAGACTGGTTACTTTCTGTGTGTCTTCTGTTTTTTTAGACGTCTGTCTTTTAGAGTCTTCTGTTTACTTTTACATGCTGTTGTTTCCATTTTCTTTAACTTGGGGAAATTATTATTAACAATATTACATGTCTAGAAGTTGTAGTTTTTGCTGAAAGAAATAATGTTTGTCAATATGTGGCATTATGATTTATATGTATTGTAAAAATATTTTATTAGTGTATTTTGTTTTTTACATCAGCTTCATTTCCAAATATACTCCTTACTTTTCCCCTTACCAGTGAGCTGTGGCCCTGTGATGAAGAATGAAATAGGGGAAGACTTTTCAGCAAAACCAGCCAGCATGACCATCTGACAGTATAGGCATTATTCTAGTTCGTAGTCTCTCACCTCTGCAAAGAAGGGAGGAAAGCACATTTTATCCACTCTTCTCTAGGCCAAGCTTCATTATAATTATATAGTGATCAGTTTCATTTTTTTCTCTCTCCATTTACTTTCTTGTCTGTCATTGTGTAAATTGTTTTCTTGGTTTTGCCTACTTCATTCTGTATCACTTTATATGTCTTCTCATGCTTCATATTCATTGTTTTCTTAGGCGTGGTAATATTCCAGTAATGGAAGTTACTTAGTTTCCAGTCTTTGCCATCATAGAAGGAGATGCTATGAATAGATGAATAATTTGGTGTATATGGGACCTTTCTTTTCTGTCTTTGATTTCATTGGAGGGTGTGTGTGTATGTACACACGTTTATGTACATAGACACACACATATGATCTCTTGGTCAAAGGGTCTTTTTAGTCACTTTTTTTAGTATGATTCCAAATTGTTTTCCAGAATGGCTGCACAAATACACAGCTCCACCAAGAGTGTATTAGTGTACCCATCTTTCTGTAATTCCTCCCACATTGACTATTTCCATTAGCTGTCATCTCTTCCAGTTTCCTGGATGTGAGGTAGAACGGTAGTTATTCAACAAAATTCAATTTAGTCACTTTTTAATAAATGCCTCCTCAGGCATGGCACTAACTATATAAGGATGAAAATCTGTAGTCCCTGTCCTCAAGGACATTAGTCTTAATCTGATTGGGAGGATTTATTGTGTACACAATATAACACAGGTAAAATATGATACGGGCAAAAGAGAGCTCCAGTATGATAGAAAAATGTGAGGAGAGAGATCCCTTTAAACTGGGGATGGGAGGATCCTGAAAATCCTTATGGTGAAGATGGTACTTGAGCTAGACGTTGGAGAAAAGAATTATCTATAGGGAGCACACTCCAGGTGTGAGGTCGTACAGTATCAGAGGTAGAGACCAGATTAGGGAATAACTGGAGTCCATTTTGACTGGCAGTCAGAGTGTGGAAAGGGAAATAGTGTAGAAATAGTTTTGGAATCAGATCATGGAGGGCCTTCAAAGAGTCTAGCCTAAGGAATTTATGTTATATTTTGTAGACACAAAGGAAGCACAGGGTTTTGGAGCAGAAGAGGAGCATGTACATTAGGAAGATGAGTTTGGCAGTTGCATGATGGATAAATTAGATTAGAGAAAAGGGAGACTGGAGCAAGGGAGACCAGGATCATAAACCTTAGAGCTCGAAAAGGCCTTGGAGAACATCCATTCCAATCCCGTCATTTTACAGATGAGGAGACACTGGGAAGAGTCAAACAAGTGAAATGAATTTCTTGGAACCACACAGATAGTAAAGGGCTGGGCAAGAATTCAAACCCAGTTGTCTTGACTTCAAATATAGGGTTCTTTCTACTATATCATGCTGCCTTTGGATTAGGATGCCATTGTAGTCATCTCAGTGTGGGATAATTTGGGAAAGGAGAGCATATTTCTTATCAAGGTGAAAATTCCAGTCTTCAGTTTCTCTTCCTCCTTTTCTTTCTCCTTTCTTCTTCTTCCCTTTCCCTTCTCCCTCCTCTTCTTCCTTTCCCCTCCTCCTTCCTCTTCTTCCTCGTCTAGTAGTAGAGAGGTGCTAAGTCCCATGCTACTCTGCCTTGGTCAGAGCCCATTTGTAACAATATGTTCATTTCTGGATGCTATGATTTTATCTTCAGTGGAATGCATGAAAAAAAAATGTATTGAAACGTGTTTTGACCATTGGAAAGCACTTTTTAATGTGGTTTATTCAGTACATTTATCTGGCTCCTAAACTTGGTAGCTAGTTTCCAGATCCAGAGCAGATTTGTTAAGCCTTGTTTGTGCCTGGCTGTGACAGTTGTCCAGATCCCATTTCAAATGCACAGGAGATTCTTGTCCTCCTTGAGCGCTTTACATTTATGCACATTGTGTTACACTTCACTATTGCACTTAAGACACTTCGTATTCCACTTGTTAACAGGCTTTGCTGCCAAGAGCTCCTGCGATGGGGCGAACTTGCCAGTGAAGCTGCTTTTCTCTGGTCTAATCTGGCTGGGAGACAGGCAGTAGTTGTTTCCTGTTTTACTTTAGTTTTTAAGCCAATGAAGATTGGCTTTGATTCCTACCAAAATTGTAGAAACTTAGTATTAAGGGAGTGGTTTGCAAACATTTAGAAAAAGAAGTGGTATTTGCTAAGAACTAATTTAAATTCATTAAGATTAGGTCATGCCAGGCTAATGTAATTTCCTTTTTTTGCCAAGGTTATTTTACTAGCTGGTAGCTCAGAGGAATACCAAAGACATCATTTACTTGTAATTTGATGAAACATTTGACAGTCTTTATCAACAATGTGAAGATACGTGTACTAGACGATAGTATAGATAGGCACATTCAAACTGATTGAATGTCAGACCCAAAAGGTAGTCAGGTATTGATGGATTTCATTTTGGAGGGAGGTCTCTAGTAGAGTGCCTCAGGAATCTGTCATTAACCCTGTACTGTTCAACATTTTATCAGATGAAGACATAAATCACATAGATAAAGACATAGACAACTTTCTTATAAAGTGCATAGACGAGCACTGGCCCTGAAGTCAGGAGGACTTGAGTTCAAATGCGGCCTCAGACCAAACACTTGGCACTTACTAGCTGTATGACCCTGGGCAAGTCACTTAACCCTAATTGCCAGGGGGAAAAAAAGGAAGCTTTGGGGCAGCTAGTTGGCGCAGTGGATAGAGCACTGGCCCTGGATTCAGGAGGACCTGAGTTCAAATCTGGACTCAGACACATAACACTCACTAGCTGTGTGACCCTGGGCAAGTCACTTAACTCCATTGCCTAACCAAATTAAAAAAATAAATAAAATAAAATGCATAGATGGTGTAAAGCTGGTAGGGAGAGCTAGCACGTTGAATGATAGATTTTTTCAGTGAGGGGGGTCTAGAATTTTTATTTGATTGGTGTTGGGATTTCATGATAACGAAACTCCCTCCAAGGTAGAATAATGACTGTTCTGTAATTGATAATCTTAGAGAGTTGCATGACAGGTCAGTGAAAGATTACGGAATTTGCCCAAGGTCAGAGAACCAAGGATATGTCAGAGCAAGAACTTCTGGATGCTGACGTTGGCTCCCTCTCCATTAGGCTGTGTGCCTCTCAGAATGACAGAATTAAGAGACGAAAGACTTCAAGAGTTAGAATAGATTATGAGCTAAGTCTCACTGCAGATTAAATTTAATTGGGATCAATGCAAAATCCTAGTTCATAGGACTTAGAACTAGAAGAGAAGCCCAAACCTTATTTTGTAGAAGGACTTTGGACCCAGAGAGGCTCAGGGAGTCGCCCAAGGTCACACTGAAGGTAAACAACACACTCGGGTTTCAGACCTCAGTTCTCAAAGAGAGAATCGGGTGCTCTTTCCACTACACCTACACTGTGGTTTGTTTTGTTTTGTTTCGTTTTTGGTTTTGTTTTTTGAAAAATCAATTGTACAAGTGCACTGTGATGGAAGATAGCAAATAGTTCCTGAAAACAGGTCTTAGTGCTCTGGAAGCCCAGTGTGAGTCAGCAGTTTGATTGAGACGGAAAGCTGAGAACATTTTAGACTCCTCGGAGAAGCAGAGTCCAGAAACAGGTTTTTGAAGGTCCCTTGTCATCTAGTCAGGCCATATCTGGAGGATTATTTGTGTTCAGTTCTAGGAGCTGAGAGTATCCAGAGAAGGGCAGATAGGATGGGCAAGGGAGTCAGCGACAGGCTATGTGAGAAACACTTGAAAGACCTGGGGACGTTTTTCCTGGAGAAGAAAGAACTTTGGGGGATGCATTATGCCTGTCATCAAATAGTATGTGAAGTACGTGGTCTCATCTATGGAGACAGCACGTGTGGAGTGCTTTGCAAACCTTAAAGCACTTTAAAAATGCTGGCTTTTATTATGGCAGAAGGATTCAACTTGTCCTGCTTGGCCCAAACTGAGAAGTAGAAAGAAGACAGAATGGGGCAGTAGACTTTGACATTAGAGAACCTGGTTTGAATCCCCCTCTGGTACCTGTTATCTTTGTGACTGTCTAACCTCTCTGGACCTCAGTTTCCTCATCCGTAAAATGAAGCCCTGGGAATGGGCTAGTGGATTCCCTGACACTAAAGATTTTTTTTTAAGTGGTAGCTGGAGGGATGTCATAGAAAGAATTTCTTTTTAGCTACAAAATGAGCTTAATGACCTCCAACTATCAGGTTCTTTTTGTGTATTTCTGCCCTGAACCAGAGTGGTGGGAGTAGCAAGGAGGGTATGTATGCAAGAGCATTTGCAAAGATGGAATCTACCGGAGTTGGCAGCTGATTAGAGAATGAGGAAGAGGTTTGGAAGAGGTTTTGAACTGTGGTGTCTGGGACCATCAACAGAATAGTGAAGAGAATGAGGGGAAGATAATTCAGTTTAACGCATATTGAGTTTCAGCGGCTGTTGGGACATCTAGGTGGATGTGCCGGGAAGCTGTAGAAATTTTTGACTGAATGTCTGTATTTAGAAGTCATCCACTTAGAGATGATCCTTGGAATTGTGAGAGTAGATGTGATAGTCCAAGATAGAGAGAGAAAAGAGAAAGAGAGCCAAGGACTGGATGATCTTCTGATAACCTTCTTGGATCTAAAATTCTTTTTATGTGGGACAGGATCCAGTACAAAGCTTTCTATTTGCAAATAGAGATCTCCCATCATATCCACCCATTAATCCATATTCTTTGTTTAGGGATGATCAATTATATGTCCACCTCTTGTGCTGTCCAACTCACATTCCTCCATCTTGTCTGGAAAGGTAGATTGAGAGACTTTTTCCCAAGTGTGCTGAAATCTAGGTCTACTACGTGGTCAACTAAAATCTTGCTTATAAAATCAAGTATCCTTTAGCTCTTTAATTAGTAAGAGACAATGTACTTGCATTTCACAAGCATATGTGAATTAATTATACGCAATCTGGCATATTCTATCATGGTTCCGTCCTTAATATTTTTAGGCAGTACTTCAGAAGCTAATAAATGATGATCCTTCCCGATAGAACTACGTGTGGAGTGTTAGTTAACAAATGTGTTTCTAGTCTTTATTCTCAACAATTCGTTCCAGTGAGTGGAGGAAAACAATGACAAAGATTATTCCAAACTCTAATCCACACATCACCTGTATTCAGTTTATCAAGGGATTAAAATTTTTAAAAACCCAAAAACTATTGAATATGAGTTGTCTGAGTATCTAGGAATTCACTGAGTCATACAGTGAAGAGTTTTAGATAGAGTTCACTTTCTCAGCTTTGCTAGATCACCATGTCTTCCCTCTAGGCTAGAGATAGATTTTCTTCTAGATTTGTGTGCAGCCTTCTGACTTCAAGTGCATTCTCACTCTTTCAGTTGATTGTTTTCCTCTATGTGAAGAGGGAGAGGGAAGATAATTAAAAATTCTTCTTTAAGAGGTAATGGCTATTAAAATGAAGTTTTGAAAATAATTGAAAAGTATAAATGACCATGTGGAAAACTGCTCCAAATTAAAATTCTGTTTTTACCCAACACCCTACAAAATGGTAAAGATGGCAGAAATGGAAAACAGTCGATGTTGGAGGGGTGTGGGAACACGGGCATGCTGATATACTGCAGGTGGTGTTGTGAATTGGAGCAACCATTCTGGATAACAATTTGGAATTATGCAAGAAAATGACTAAACCGTTCCTACCTTTTGACTCAGAGATCCCGTTACTGGGCGGTCTAAGACAAAAATAAGTTCTAGTATAAACTAGAATATTTATAGTAGCATGTTTTGTGGTAGCAAAGAACTGGAAACAAAGTGAGCACCTATCATTTAGAGAATGGCTGTATTTGGAGAATTGTGTATATATTAATGTAAAGTTATTATGCAGATAGAAATGAGGGATGCAGGGAATTCAGAAGCGTGGGAAGATTTATAGAAATTGATGCAGAATGGAACAAGTATAGGATTGTAGATTTAGAGCTGAAAGGAATCTTGAAAAGACCATCTAGTTCAACTTCCTCATTTTAAAAATTCTAATTTATTGATATCTTTTGCTTTTGTATCACTTTTCTTTCTGAGTATACTCATCCCCTCACTCCTGCCCTTCAAGGCACTACTTACAGGAACAGAAAGAGGGAAAAAAAAGAAGTTTAGCAAAATCAATCAATAAATTGTGTTTGACAATATATATAATATTCCATGGCTATAATCCCCCATGTCTGTAAAGAGGGGAGGAAATTGAGTTTCTCAGCTCTTCTATTGAGCCAAGCTCAAATATAATTCTCCAGGTTCAGTTTAGGTTATTTATTCTTTCTGTTTCTGTTACCATGATCATTATGTAGAGTTTTCCAGGTTCTCATTACTTCAGTTTTTTTTTTTTTATCAACCCAAATAAGTCTTCTCATGCTTCTCTGACTACAGAAAAATACACCAGAGATGACCAGGGTGTAAAAACAAAAGACGTCGGTGAAACTTGCTTTTTAAGAAAAAGCTAAGCTGTATTAGAAGTGGACTGTACACCAGTTCCTGAGGGCATGTAGGTCATCTAAGGAATCAGCTATTTGAGGACTTTAGAGTCAACAGCAAAATTCATATGATCATGGAATCCTGGAGGTGAAAGGGACCTGAAAGGTCATCTAATTTCCAAGCTTTACCTAAAGCATAAATTCCTCTACAACTTCATATAATCAATTTCTACTTAAATACCATCCAGTACTTAAATCCACTTAATTACTTCCAATACTTGAATACCACCAAATGAGGTGAAAGTCACTGCCTCATGCAACAGTCTATTCAGTTTTCTCGAAGTTAGAAAGTCCTTCCTTATTGGAGACTGAAGTTGGTTTCCCTATAACTTCAGTAGTTCTGTCCTGATATGTGCTAGCCAAAGCCTGTCCTTCATGCATCCTCAGAGTCACGCAGAGGTTTGAAGTTGGTGATCATGTCCCTCTAAGTCTTCTCTTGACTGAAATTTTCAAGATTTAATTGAAAAGTAAGCAGTGTTACCCTTGTTCCCCTATAACGACTCACATTTTTATAGCCCTTAAAATTGTTTGAGGTACTGTTCTCACAGCAACCCTGTGAAGTAGTTATTGTAGGTATTATCCTCACCTTTTTTGTTGTTCTTCAGTCATTTCAGTCATGTCCAACTCTCCATAGCCCTGTTTGGGGTTTCTTGGCAAAGATACTGCAGTAGTTTGCCCTCCCCTTCTCTAGCTGATTTTACAAATGGAGGCAAACAGAGTTAAGTGACTTGTCCAAGGTTACACAGCTAGTAAGTGTCTGAGGCTGGATTTGAACTCAGGTTCTCCTTACTCCAAGGCCAGCACTCCATCCACTGTGCCATCTACCTGCCCACTGTACAGATAAAGAAATCGAGTCTCAGAAATGAAGTAATTTGCCAAGTCAGAGCGAGGTCATAGACACAAGTATTGTGACTCAGAAGACAGAGCATTTTTTGTTTTATCGTGATGCCCTCACTGAGAACTTTTAAATATGGTACAGTGCTCCACAGCTGCTGCTTTTTCCATGAAGCTTTCCCTGCTCTTTTAGCCAGAAGTGACTTTTCCCCCTTTTCAAAGGACTTTGTCTTTTTCTCGTGCACGTGACATGTGCCTCACAGTCTGTTTTGTGTTATGGTTAGGTGGGTTACATGTCTGATTTCCCTCGCTCCTTGACGAGAAGGGCCTTGTTTCGTTAGTCTTTGTGCCTCTGGCAGGGCTCAGCACAGCGTTGTGTGTAGTAAGTCTGACTAAAAAGTTTAATGAACAAATACATAATTCAGATTGTACTATTGGCATTCAACCCTCTAAGCATTGTGTAACCTTTTAAAATGTCTTAATAAATTTAATACATTACTAGACTCATCTACCTTTTTTCTCCTCTATTTTCAGGGTAATTCCAATAACATTGCCACAGTGGATATTTCAGCAGGCTTTGTTGGCCTAGACCACTATATTGAAGTACCAGCTATGTTCCTCACAGCCTTTGCAACATATGTAGGACCTATCCTTTGGGCCATTCACTTACTGAGTTTTTTGAGTTCAGAAAACAACAGGTAATGACTTATTTTAACTGCAAATCTGGTAATAAAGTAGCTAGAATTAAGAATAACTCTTGGGGACTTTAGAGATCATCTAACCTGGAGTCCATGAACTTGTCTTTTTTAATATTTCAATAATTATATTTCAGCATGATTGGCTTCCTTTGGAATCTTATGAATTTTATTTTATGCATTAAGAAAAAAAACATTCTTAGAAGGGGTCCATAGGCTTCACCAATTCCTAAGGGGATCCATGACACACAAAAAAGGTTTAAGACTCCTGATGTAGACAAACCTTATTTTATGAATGAGGGAAATCAAGCCCAGAGAGGAGAATTACATTGCTCAAGATTAGGGATAGGCAGTAAGTAACCAGAGCCAGAACTGGAACCTAGGTCCAAGTCTAGTGTTCTTTCTTCAACATGCTGCCTCTCCTTGGCCTTCATGATAGTGCTGGGGAGCCCATAGGATTTTTTTTTACAGACTGGTCGTTCATGTCCTTTGTTCCTGACTGTTCTATATAACAAGAAGGAACCATTAAGCAACAAGGGCTTGGGAGACTTCTACCTATGAGACATCCAGGAGTGGTAGGGGGAGGTGCCTGGTGCTTCCAGAATTGGATCATCCTCCCCCTGAAAGAGCTTTCTGTGAGTGCTCTTGGCTACACCCTAGTCTGCTTATCTCTGTTAGTCCTTTGGCCTCAACTTTAGTCAGCGTGGCTTCTAAGTGCAGAGGAGAAGAGACGTGTTCAATTGTCCTCACAGATTTTGTCCTTGGGCATCTGGCTCAGTGGTGAGATAGAGTAATTTGAGTATCTGACTTTAAAAGCTATAAAACCCCTGGAGAATCCTGTAAGGTACCTTCTTAGGTTCCTACTAAGAGCTGCATGGAATGTGCTAGAGGCTTGGCATAGATTTGCTGGGTAAATAGAGTATCTGTGAGTAAGGAGGCTTGACTGTGCCTTTTATTGTGTTTTTTAAAAGGTGTGTAAATCTGTGTAGTTTAAAAAGCTTTTTGGTCTTTTCTTATATCACTTCCTAATGACTTCCTCCAAAATAAGTACAGTCTAATCAAATCTACACTTGACCCTGTCTGGAAACGTCTGCCTCATTCTGCACCTCCAGTCCGCACACTCTGCCAGGAGGTGGGAGGCACGCTGTGTCACTGTGGGTCCTCTGCACTCATGACTGATGATGGTATTGAGCAGAGTTCTGAGGTCTTTCAGTGTTATTTTCCCCCATGACATTGTGGTCATCGTGTACCTTGTTCTCCTAATTATGTTAACTTCACTCTGCCTCAGTTCTTCCTAAGTTTCTCGTAATTCTTTGTAGTCATCATTTCTTACAGCAGAATAATATTTCATTATGTTAACATACTACAGTTTGTTCAACTGTTCTTCACCATTGGGCATTTACCTTTTTTCCACCTCTTAGCTGCTACAAATATTTTTGTACATTTGGGATCTTTCTTTCTGTCTTTGACTTCCTTAAGATATTTGCCTAATAGCTTTGCCTCTATGTGTTAAATAAGTCAACGGAAAAAAAAGTTGTTGAGTGACCATCATATGCAAGGCAGTGTGCAGACTGGCCCTGGGAGAGGTCCAGAGTAGTGTGAGATACAGTCCTCCTTCTCAATAGCTTATAGTCTAACCAGGGAGAAGATACACTTCAGAAATTAAAGAACAGTGCTGCACCAAATGGGTCTCACCAACTGTACTCAGGGAGTGCATAAGAAAAAGAAATCTTTGGGTTCAAAACTGGTCAGGGAAGACCCCGTGAAATAGGCAGCATCTTATGGCAGAGAAGGTTTGGATAGGCTGAGAGGAGAAGGAAAATATATTTCAGGCAAGAGAACATGAATTTCTCCATCCAGGTCTTTGCTTAGAGTCAGTTGTGTTTGGGGACCATTCAGTGGAATAGAGAATAGAAGTTGGGAAAAAGGCTGTAAAGTTAGAACAATGGATTGGGCCCAGATTTTAGGGACCTTGAATGTCAGGCTAATCAGTTTAATGAAGCAAACACTTGTTAGGCACCTAACATGCCTAAAGCACTGTTCTAAGGACTAAAAATGAAAAAATGACACAGTCTGTACCCTCAAAGAGCTTCCTGCCTAAGAGGTGAAGTATTGAGTAAGTTTCTCAATCAGGGAACTGACATGACAGCTTCAGCATTTTGAAAAATTCCATTTAACAAACATTTATATGCTGGGCATTGTGCTGTGTTGTGGAATAGCAAAGCAGAATGAAATAGTCTTAATCCTGAAGGGTTAAGAACCACTTGTGTAGTCAGGGGCTGCAATGGGTAAACTGTATGTTAATACAAAGAGTCTACCAAGTCATTTCATGAGGGAAAGAGTGCTAACACCTGGGAAAACAAGCTGGTAGTGTTGTGGAAGTCAGCCTTCCCTGCTCCCAGAAGAGGGAAATAGACTCATTCCTATCCCTGGCCCCTTAGGAATAGAGGCAAGGGGTGAGGGAGACAGCTTTGGTTCTTGTAGGCAGAATAGTAATAACTCAGAGTTATATCTGTCTCAGCGTCCCTCAAAGAGCAGTAACTTAATGGACTGTGTCTTTGTAGTTCTTTTTCTTTCCTAGAGAGCTCTTCTGATTTCCTTTACAATTATAAAGTACAGGTAGATATAGTAATGTCTTCTTATGACGGTATATTCTAGGTGGAAGATGGACAAAATTCACAGATGTTGTCCCTGTGCATCGGGGAGTATGGATCTTTCTGAGGACCAAAACCCAGGGAGGCTTCTTTCACAAGTCCGTCTGTACTCTCTTCCATACTTGGGTTTAGGGGAGACTCATTGTGCTTGAGTTGGATGGTCTGTTATATTTCAGAGGATAACTGTCTTGATTTTCATAGGCTTCATTACAAGGAGTTGAGAAAAACTGGCTGTTAATCCCAGTTCACACTTCTATAGCACTTTAAGGTCTACCTAAAGCCATTTCATGGCAACCCTGTGGGAGAGATATGTATGCTTGTCCCCATCTCCTACCCCAGCATCTTGGTAGAACAATACTGAGTTAGCTGAAGAGCTGTGTGCATGAGGTCAGATTAGACCACATGGGCATACCCTGGGCCATCTCTTCACCCAGAGCCTGTCCCTGCCCATTTTTGCTCCTGGTGAAAGGAGTTGGAGTGGTTAGCAGCTTAGGGTACAGACTGTTGTTGCTAAGCATTTTTCCATTTAGATTGTGACTATTTGGGGCCAAGAATCAGAGGAGGACAGTGGAGAGCTTTTCCTCTATGGCTTCAGGTGGTTTGGTTTTGGCTTTCTCAGAGCTGCAATAGAGAAGTTGGCAGAATGAATTATGGGATCTCCGAGTTGAAAGGGACCATAACAAGGCATCTAGGCAAGTCCCTTTCTGAAGCCAAATTCTCTTTACAATATTCTTGACTGATATTAAGTCCTGCTTCTAATGAAATACATTTAAAATAAGAAACTCCTGACCTTTCAAGGCAGACCATTCCAAAGAGTTTCTGAATATTTAGTTAAGGGTCAGATGTTTTTAATTTGAAGAGAAACTTATTGACACACCTCTACCTGCCCTGTCAGATCCTTCTGGCCATATACCTCCTATAGGGGCAGGGGAAGATTAATAAGAAAAGGTCTAGGTGGCAAAATGTTCCAATTTGCAGATGACACAAAACTGGGAGAAAACACACACTGGATGACAGAGTGAGGACCAGAAAAGTCTTGGCAGATTAGAACATTGGGCTGAATCTGCTAAAATGCCTTTCAAGTGTGGATGAATAGAAAATCTTGGACTTGGGTTAAAAAAATCAGGTTCACAAGTACAAGACAAAGGAAGCATGGTTAAACAGCAGAAAAAGTGCTGAGGATTTTAGTGGACCACAGGTTCAGTTGGAACCAGCAGTGTGATGGGGCAGCCACAAGATCCTGTGTGATCCTGGGCTGCGTTAAGATAGGCATAGTTTCCAACAGTGAAGAGATGGTAGTCCTGGTCAGATAGTGTCTTGGGTGTCAGGTTCAGTTGTGGGTGCCATTGTTAAGGAAGATCGTTGGGGAGAAACAGCAGCATAGTATGGTGGGTAGACAAAGTTAGGAAGAACGAGGCTCAAATTAGGCCTTTGACCCAGGCTGTTGTGTAATGCTGGAGGGGTCATTGAACCCCTTGGTGCCCCAAGAGAACGCTTTACAGCTGTGAATCCCAGAGCAGGTGCTGAACTGCCTTCATAGAAGGAATAAGAGCCCTCTTCCAGTGAAGTCACTTGAAGTCCCAAGTCCAGTCCAGAGTATGGAGCCATTGATAACTGGAGAGAGTCTAGAGGAGGCTGCCAGAATAGCAGAGGGGCCTCAAGTCTGTGTCCTTCAAGGGTCAGTTGGAGTGACTGGGGATCTTTAGTCTTGAGGGGAGGAGAATAAAGGTACATGAGAGGTGTCTCCAGATTGTTGTAGGTGTCATGTGGCAACATGAAAGGGGCATGAGGCCTGCTCTTGGCCTCAGAGGACAGAAGCAGAAGCCAGGTTGTGGGGTGGGGAGACGAGGGGAAGTAGCACAGAGACAAACTGAGGCCTGATGTTAGGGGAATGCTCTGCACTAGAGTACAAGTGGGATGGGGCAGGCTGCCTTGTGAAGGGGGTGGCTAGATGCTTTTGGGCTCCATTGTAGGGAGAATTCCTCCTAGGTAGAAATTGGGCTAGAGAGGTCCCTACTATCTTTATGTTCTGTGAAGGACACAAGATGCTAGGATGTCAGGAGCTTGGGATGGGGTGACTGAGAGGGAAAGGGGAACGTCCAGTGTTCCCTGGAGGCCACAGGAGACAGGAGCTTTTGCTCTATGGCGCTATTTAGGAGTATCAGCCAGCAGGCTCAGGATGAGTGTTGGTCAGTTTGAAGTTTGAGAGCTTGAACTGGAAGCAGTGGTTGAGGGAGCATGGAAAGAGCTAGAGGTTGTGAGGCAAATGGTTCTGGTTGTAGGTTGCAGTGAGAATCATTCCAGTGTAAGGGCGGTTTCAGTGGGTGTGTATAGAAGAGTGAGCTGGGGCATGCTTGAGTAAATGAACAGTTTGAGAACTCATCTGTGTATCCAGACCTGGTGGAGAAAGACAGGTTAGGCTGACAGTTGTCCATCTGTTCCCTTGCTCCTTATAGCATATTCCAGCAAGGTATGAGTAATATATACTAGCAGGGTATGAGAAGGGCCTAAAAATGGTAACGGCTATGTAAAGTGGAGAGATGACAAAAGTGAAAGATGTTATGGAGCTAGAATTGACAGAACATGGCGGCTGGCTAGAAAAATCTCTAAGATGGATTCTGTTTTATCATACAGCATGGCAGAATCATTCATTTCTGAGTTCTTTCTGGCCTGGTGTTGGGGGCAAGGGTTTGCTGTCCTCAGGCTTGGGGCATTGTGATTGTTTTGTGACACAGGTACAGAGAATTTTAAAACTCAGACATCTGGATGGGACATTCATCTTGGCAAGGGATTCACTGCCCACTTCGTCTTAGGGATTCACTGCCCAGTACATATGGACAGGGCCCCAGAATCTAGTTCAGGGCTCAGGGCCCAAGCAGACTTCCTTCCGTTGCCTCCCCTGGTGTCTTACAGATGGTTTTCCACCAGCTTTTGTTTTCTCAAAGCAGAATTTTGCTTAATCTGTTTCTTTCTAAAAAGGCTTTTTTTTTAAATGGAAAATTTGAATCAGTGTGTTCTATTCTGTGTCTGATCATGCAAGTCATATGCAGAACCACTCCTAAAATTTGAGAATCATCTGCCTGCAAATGGAACAATCCAGAATTGTGTCAGTAGACAGGGAACAGATGCTTTCTCAGCAAATCATTAAGTGCCTCCTGTGTGCAAGATCCTGTGCTGTGCAATAGGACACTAATCCTGCCTGCAGAGAGCTTACATTCCACCAAAGGAGATATAACACACATGCAAGATAGCAAAAGGAAATAGAAAACCAAACTGAGGTACTTTAAAGAGGGAGAGAGCACTGATTCATGAGAAAGGGGTCAGGAAAGGCTTTGAGTGGAAAGTATGACACCTGAGCAGAGCTTTGAAGGAGGCTAAGGAGTCTAGAATGAGATGGGCATTCTGGGTGGAAAAGGCAGTGTCTGGGAGGCACAGAAATGGGAGATAGAATGCCAAGTTTGGGAGCAGTTGGGCCAGGACATAGAGCATATGAGGGGGAATATGGAATGTCTTGAAAGGCAGGTTGCAGGTAAATTGGGAGGGCTTTATATCCTAGACTGAGGAGTTTGTATTTTATCCTAGAGGTAATGGGAGTTCCTTTTATGGGGTTAGCTGAAATGACCTCTGAGCTTCTTTCCAGCTCTGAAATGTGATTCTGGTAAGATTTTTGTACAAGGAAATGGCCCCATGAGATAGATGCCAGAGGAATGTGATTTTGGCAGCCGTGTGGAAGATGAGATGGAGAGAAGAAAGACCGGGAGCAAGGAAAACTATGGGAGAGCTCACAGCTTTGCACTGATCTAGGGGAGGGATAATAAGGGCTTGATAATGAGGTCATAGGGCTGTACATAAAAGGAGATAGGTGTGAAAGGTGTTATTGAGGTAGAAATGACAAATTATGACAACTGATTGGATGGGGAGGGGGGAGAAGGAAGAGTCAAAGATGATTCCCAAAGTATGAAACTGGAGAATGATGGTGCCCTTATCAGAAAAGGGGAAATTTAAAGGGCAGTGGGTTCAGCAATGAGTTCTGTTTGGGAAATGTTGGATTTTGAGGTGCCAGTCAGATGTCCTGGTGGGGTTGGTTCAGCAGGTAATTGTTGATGTTCAACACAGAAATGGGGCCGCTCTCCCAGCTCCACTAGAGTGAGCACTGATTACTAAGGGCTTAGACATTATTTTCCTGCGTGGTTTCATGACATGAGACAGAAAGATACAGTCTTTTCTAGCAGTAAATTTGGAGTTGAGAAGTCCAATCCAAATGTCGTCCTTAAAAAGGGCCAAGATAGGACACTAACTCTCCCTAATTGATGATAGCTCTTCTCCCACACTTTACTGCTCCTGTACAGACTCCACTGTCATTGCATATACTGTTTGGAATGGAAAAAGGTAACGAGGGGTAGGAAATAGCATGAGAACTTCTTTGGTTCATATAGTATGGGAGGAAAACCTTGTGTTGCTACAGAAGGAGCCCAGTCACTGTTTCTCTCGCTCCTATCCCCAGCCTGGCAAAAAGAACCCTAGGAAAGGTGAGGAGGGAATCTCTGTGCACTCTGCATACGTGTAGCACCTTCCTGTACTTACGGAGCATTGGGCATGGGAGATGGAGCAAGGAGCCTGCTTTAGCATCCCAGAGTCCACCTTTCTACTGAAGCAATACAATTTAGCAAAAATGACTAAGCAGCTACATTATGTTAGACATTGGGGAAAATAAAAATAAATGAGTGTGTGAACAAAACTACCGACCAACATTGTCCCAGGCACATAGCAGAGATGGAGCTATACCCTGTAGGAGTTCGAATTTGTAGAAGGCCACAGCAATCACTATAGTATATTGAATTAGTACATAACCCTGAGACTCTTTACTACTAGGCAGTAGTTCAGAGAAGACAGGCAGCTGGTGCTTTACATATGTGAGAGTCACATATATACAAGCAGCCTGCCTGTAAATGACCCCTGATATTTTCAGTGAAAAAGTACAGGTTTATCCCTTTGCTTTTTAGCCAATGCTATTTGTTGTCCTTGTATGACTAGTTGGAGATATAAGATACAGTCTCAGGATATGTTCTCATAATGATAACTTCTGTGTAAATATAGCATTTTACAGTTTACAAAATGTTTTTCCAGTAACCTTATGAGAAAGATAATGTAAGTATTGTTATCCCCATTTTATAGACTTTTACAAAACCTTGAGGCTTAGAGAGGGTGACATGCCCATGGTTACATAGCTGGTAAGTGTGGATTGTCTTTCCCATGGGGGAAGAGCATAGTTCAGATTAAGATTCTAGCAAAGGTCAAAGACAAAGGCTAAGCAGGGAATTGGGGGGGTCTCCAGAAAACAACTTTAGGAACCTGCTTCTGGGATTGACAGTTTATCTCATGAGAGAAATCAGCTCAAGGAAGCATTCTCTTTAAGACTGCAGTACACTAGCTGGGCTCCCATTGTCAGTTTGCTGGGAATTGAATTGAAGCCCTGACTTGCAAGGGCAGTGCTCTTATTATAGTTCTCTGTCTCTCACCATGTAACACACTGGCTCGTCCAGTCTTTAAATGGCATAGCAGAATGCCAGAGCTGGAGGAGGGCAGGGGAGATGAGAAAGGCAGGCGTGGGAGGGCCTTATGTATATAGTAGGACATTTGCTGAGCCTTGACTTAAGGAAGAAGTTCTAACAGTGAGATCTGTCTACAAAATGAACCAGGCTGGCTTCAGAGGTAGTGAGTGCTCTGTTTCCTTTTTTTTGTTGGAATGTAGAGGAGATTGATGCTTCCTGTAGAAGCTGGACTAGATCAGGGGTCAGCAAACTATGGCCAAATCCAATCCAAATTGGTATCTTGTATATCAGTGAGCTTAGAATGGTTTTTACAGTTTAAAATAGTCTAATATTTAAGCATATTTTAAATATGTTTTTTTGTTTTCTTGCTCAGTAGCTTCAGCTATGTTCAACTTTTTGTGGCCTCATTTAGGGTTTTCTTGGCAAAGATGCTGAAGTGGTTTGCCATTTCCTTTTCCACTCATTTTACAGATAAGAAACTGAGATAAACAGAGTTAAGTGACTTGCCCCAGGTCACACAGCTAATAACATCTGAGGCCAGATTTGAACTCTGGAAGATGGGTCTTTCTGACTTCGGACCTAGCACTCTTGTCAGCTGAGTCACCTAGCTGTCCCCATATTATATTTAGTATACTAAATATATCTGAAAACATAAAAACCTTTTTTAGATCACAGGCCAGGCCATGTCAAATGCAAAAACCAAAAAAACCAGGCAGAGGGCATAATTTGGCCTTTGGGCTGTATAGTTTGCTGACTGCTGGACTGGATCACCTCTGAGATAACTTCCCAGTCTGAGATACTATAATTCCAAAATTGGTAAGATCAGGCAAAGAATTTGATTTGGTGAAGAAGTGGAAAAAGGATGTTCCAGGGGGAAGATGAGTATGACATGTTCTGGGAACAGTGGGGGGAAGCAAATGGCATATGGTAAGAAAGGCTGCGTAGATGAAATGGGGCCCCATTGTGAAAGGCTTTGAATGATACAGGATTTGGACTTGTTACCATAGGCAGTAGGGAGCCATTGTAAGTTCTTGAGTAGAGAAGCAACACTGAAATGATCATTTAGGAAGATTAGTCTGGCCGTAGTAAGTCAAATGGATTGGAACATGGTAATACTGGAGGTGGGAGGCTTCTTACAAGTTACTGTAGTAGTCCAGGCATGACATTTTAAGTACCAAGAATAAAGTGGAGAAAAAGAGACAGATCGAAGAGATTACTTGAAAAGAAGAAATGACAGGATTTGGTGACAGATACGGTGTGGAGAGAACAAAGTCAAAACTAGTTCGTTTTGACTGTAGGTGTTTAGAATACTAGTGGTGATGAAAACAGAGACTTTGGCAGGGAGAAATGATCACTTTAGATTTGGACGGAAGATAACAAATGCTAAAGGGACTTCGGGAAAACATATAAGATATGCTGTTAGTGGGTTACTGTGAACTGGGTCAGCCATTCTGGAACTGCGCCCAGACTGTTATTAAACTGTGTGTATCCTTTGACCCAGGGATACCATTAAAATATCTATCTATAGCAGATCTTTTTGTGGTGGTGAAGAATTGGAAACTGAGGAGAAAACTGAGAATTCAGTTGGAGAATGGCTGGACAAGTCATTGGATGTGGATGTGATCGAATATTGCTGTGTTGTAAGAAGTAATGAAGGAAGCAGCTTAGGAGAAACCTGGGAAGACACGTCTGAACTGATGGAGAGTGAAGTGAGAACAATTTATACAATAAAAACAATATCGTAAAGACAAACAACTTTGAAAGACGTAGAAACTCTGATTAACACGATACAGTGACTGACCACAGCTCCAGAAGACTCATGAGAAAACATGCTAATCCCTACTTCTTGACAGAGAGGGGTGATGGACTCAGTGCAGGTTGATTTTTTTTTTAAACATGGCCAATGGAAGAATTTATTTTGCTTTACTATTTTTGTTGTTCGGTCATGTCTGACTCTTCATGACTCCATTGGGGTTTTCTTGGTGAAGATACTGGAGTGGTTTGCTCTTTCCTTCTCCAGCTCATTTTACACATGAAGAAGTTGAGGCAAACAGAGTTAAGTGAGGCACTCAGCTAATAAGTGTCTGAGGCTGTATTTGAACCCAGGTCTTCCTGACTGCAGGCCTGGCACTTTGTCCACCTCACTACCCAGCTGCCCATATTGCTTTACTATACATGTTTTAATAGGTGTTTTGTTTTTCTTTCCTTCTCAGTGAGGGGGCGAAGGGGGAAAATGGGACATAAAAGGCAGATTTTTGCTGATAGAAGAAAATTAGAATTTCATTTTAAAATAATTTAGATTTAGAGACATTACATTTCAGTTGATGTGAAGACCTAGAATGGCATGAAATATTAATTTAGAGGTCAGGTGAAATATCAGGGCTGGAAATGTAAATTTTGCAAGTATCTGGTTCAGGGAAATAGTAGATACTCTACAAAGCCTTGTTGAATGAAGATGGTAGCTAAAGCCATAATAATAATCCACTTTTATGTAGCACTTCAGAGTTACAAAGTGCTTTGTGTCAAGTACTTCCTTTAATCCTTGCCATATCTCTTTGAGGTAGGTACAAGCATCACACTCTGCACTTGATAAATGGGGAAAGTGAGGTACAGGGTAAAGTGATTTTCCCAGGTCACACAGCTAGTAATCAGCAGAGCCCGTTTTTCTGATTCACAAGTCCAGTGTGCCTTCCACCATGTCAGTTTTCAGAGAAGGAGAGTGTGGAGAGAGAAGCCCAAAGGACTCCTAACTGATTGGGCTGAAAGACATATAACTTAACTGTTGAGGGTTGTATACAGTGATGTGTGACTTAAGTTATAGTGCTCTATGGTTTCTGCTCATCTTCTTATAGTTCATGGATCAGTGGTTTGCCTGGAGGATGGATTTCCTCCCTGCATAATAAGAACTTAATAAATGTTGTTGACTGAATGCCCAGCAGCTCCCCCAACTCCTGCTGTCCCAGGATCTCATTTGTAGCTAGCCTGCTTCCAGTCAAGGTGTGGCTTTACACTCAAGCCCACTGACAGCCTGTCCTCAATTCAACATTATGTTCAGCCCACCTAGATGGCAGAGCACGTTACTGTCTGCCCAACTTGGGTCCTTGTAGACCCTAAGGGACTGCCATGTCTCCATTTTAGACATAAAGTCAAAGGCTCCCATCTCTCCCAGAGAATAGAGATGAGGCAGGATGCTGGGATTTCCAAGGCAGATGCACTCTGAGCACATCCAGCCTAGGACTGTCTAGGTCAATGAAGCAAATCAAACATACAGAATCCCAAGTAGTTAGGTGGTGTGGTAGACAAGAGTGCTAGACTTGGAATCAGCGGGACCTGAGTGCAGGTCCTACCTTAAGCACATACTGGTCATTTTACCTCTCTTTATGTTAGTTTTCTCTACTGTAAAATGAGGATAATGGACCTCTCTCACAGGTTTATGGTGAGAATAAAGTGAGATAATATATGTAAAGGATGTTAAAATACTGATGGTGGTGGTGGGTGTTGGTTTATAGAAGAGTAGAAGGGGGACCTCAGGGACCTCTAACCCAACCCATTCCTGGACAAGCACTTCCCTACCTCTCTGATCATACCAACGTTCAGCGAGGGGAGCTCCTCCCTGTGGGGCAGCCCTTTCCAGCTGGGGCAGTATTCCTCTATCTGAACTGGTTTCCCTGTGCTCCTTACCCCCATTGTTCATAATTCTACCCTCTGGATCCAGGCAGAAAATTCAAATCCCTTTTCCACACTTTCCCAGTTATCTTACCTTGATGTTCTCCAGCTCATCAACATTATTCTGCAGTAGCAAGAAATCTGGTCTTGGAATCAAGAGAGGCTTGGGTTCAAATCCCACCTTTGACATTAGTTAGTTGAATGACAATGAGCAAATCCCCTAACCCTTCTATTGATGTTCTGTCTTCATTTTCTTCATCTTCAAACTGGAGATAATAAGATCTGTAGCCTTTAGCTAAAAAGGGTATTGTCAAGAGTACTAAGCCAATCTTAGAAGTGTTTTGTATGTCTGATGTGATAATGTTTCATGATTGTTCTTAAATAGTCACCAAGAACTAAACACGGTATTTCTTCCACATGTGATTTGACTGGGACTACCTACAGCAGAGCTGTCATCTCCCTCATTCTGGCTAAGGTCAGGTTAACTTTTCTGGCTGTTCTTGTCACACGGTTGACTCATAGTGACCTGACAGGCCGTTAAAAAGCCCGTGGTTTTTTTTTTTCCAGAAACTGCTGTCCAACCATTGCTACCCCATCTTATCCTTGTGAAGCTGACTTTTTGAAGCCAAGTGTAATACTGCATATTTATTCCTATAAATTTCATCCTATCAGGTTTGGCCACACTCTTAAGACCACTAGTAATGGGTGAGGATGGGAGGGTTAGAGAGGGGACGTTGTTCACAGATCAGGATTCTTTACTTCGTGAAAGATTCCCTTCAAAAAAGAAAGTCCCTTGGTAAATCTGAATTATGGTTATATTAGTAAATCTGATTTACATGGACCTTTTCAGTAGCACATCAGTTTTATAAAGTGAGGTGATTGGATATCCTGGTCTTTCTTAAGAAAGCAACTTAATGTGTTAGTAATACATGAAAATTTCCTCCATTAGACAGTTGTATTTTTTTTCTTACTGTTTCACAGGCTTAAGGCAGCATGCCAGGCTTAGTTTTCATATTTTTCTGGTGAATCAGAAAAACTAGAAAAGAACGAATGGCTGTCCTCTCTAGCCCCTTCTCTGCTGCATCACTGTGGTCAAGTCATTTAACTGTTCGTGTGTTAGTGTCCTTATCTGTAAAATTGGGGGTTAGATGAGACACTTTCTAAGGCCCTATAAAAAATTGTAGGATTCTGTAAGTTTAAAAGAGAGTAACACAAATTATAGATTCTTCCTCTAGAGAATTCTACATAGGTAAGCAGATCTGATTGTAATGGACACCTGCAGTAGTCCAGTACTGAAGTATATCCCTTCTCTGCTTTGTCGGAATTGACCTTGACCCACATTCACTATAAGTCATTCATTTATTAGAATCTAATGTCACTACAGTCTCTATACAATATAATGTGTAGTCTGGGACCCTCTGGGAAGGCTTCATGCAAGAGGGGAGGCTTGAAAGTTAAAAGGAAGGGTAGGGATTAGACAAAGGGAATGGGGATGTGGGGCATTCCAGCCAAGGAGGAGGGTGGTGAGTAAAGGCTCAGGGGGACCAATGCCTTCCAGCCCTCCAGTCTGAGATTTCATGACTATATGTGGTAGTCAGACGGACATAAGCAGAACAGCAGAACATTGGCTGATTGGCAGCCTTTGAAGGAAGGGACATGTGTTACGCAGTCTTTTATAGAGACTAATTTGGCAGCAGTGTGCAGTGTTTAATTAGAAGAGGAGAAGGAGTCTCAAGTTGGGGAAACTGATTCAGAGACAATTGCAGTTGTCCAAGCAAAACATGAGAAGGTCTATGCTGGACATTAGGAGGGTGGAGGGAGGACACTAGTGTATGGTGGCTGCCTGCACCTCTCTGGGTGAGTACCTGCAGTAAATGTTCCCTAGAAAGCCTGAGTTTGCCACTATTTCCCAAAGGGCTGAGCTAATTAACAAGTCTCAGGCATGGCAACAGCCATTACCCAGGGAGAGAGTCTCTAGGTGATCTGCCCTGTTAATAGATAGGATTTCCTCAGAACTAAGCCCCTTGGTTGACTTAGCCTGGATCCAAGAATTCTCCAGGAGAGTCTATCGACCAAGGAGTAAAGGGGTTTCCTTAAGTTTTGGTGTGCTTTTTTTTTTTTGAGAGCCCTCACTCATGTTGGTACCTATTCTTTTCCCCCACTTTTGTGGCTAATAGAAACTTGCTTACCTTCCGTAGAAACAGCTGCTGCTGTTCTCTATGACACAACAATAGCCTTGGAATGAGTAGTATATACTTAGTCATGTTATTGTTCTGGTTAATCCTCCGCTCTTCCCCCTCTTAGAGAAAGAATAAGATCCTAGGGAGAAATCCATGCTGCCCTTTTCCTTCCTTCTCTCTCTTTACCCAATTTCTTAAATTCTACAATCTGTTATCATCTATTGTAATGTTATATATAATGCAATTATGCATTGTGTTTAGCTAAAAATTGGCTTTTCCTAAGCACCCCAATTCTTTGCTTATAATTACTAATCAGTATTTTAGCCTACTTGTGTATGCAGTACTATATATTCTTTGACCTTCATCTTCTGCCCATTTGCAGAACTGGATGAATTCCAGGTTTCTCCCTTATTTTATTTTGTTATATGGAAGTGCAGCCCTAAACCCCACCTGCTTATTCATCCTTTATGCCCTGCTAGGTTCAGGTCTTCCTCTTTGCTCTTATTGTTGATAGTACTCATTGCTGGTCCCCCTTCTCATTGCCAGCAAGTTGAATGGGAAGTTAATTCAGATCACCTGCTTGAAAGGAAGATCTGCTTACTACTGCACAATGCTAAGCCCATAGCACATTCCAAAAGCCTGAACTAGGGTTGTACCACTGAGAATGGAAAAGAATAAATGAGATAGCTGAGGAAGGATTAATAGACCTGGGTGACTAATTGACAATTGGTAAACAGAGAAGGAAGAATTTAAAATGACCCAGAGATTTAGAGCTTTGGAGACTGGTGAAATGACTAAAATGTGACCATTAAAAAGTTCGAGAGACGTTATTTCTGGGTAATTTAATCAATTCATTAATAAGT